GGGGGGGGGGAGGGAGGGGGGGTTAAGGGGGGTAAGTACGGGTTGGGTTGGGAGGCTACAGGGCGAGACACGTTCAGAAGCAGTAATCGCGACTGAGTTGCATGTATGGCGATACGGTTATTAAAAGGACTCAGATTAAATATACATCAGATTGACACACATACATGCACACAAACACACACACATCCACAGATCGAAACGATACCAGCACCACCAGCAGAAGAAGAATGTCCGCCGACGCCAGAGCACATTACAACCCCTCTCCACGTTTCCCGCAAACACACACACACGCACACACAGACACATGTTCTGTGACATGGCGACATTACACGCCCCCGCCGCGTCCGCGAGGGTCGCGTTCCCAATGCGATCAAAAGCCGTTTTTCCCGTCCAAAAATTTGAGTTGTACGGAGTACGGCAGTACGGACCGGGACTTACGTAAAAATTTCCATGTACAGGCCGCCGCCTCCCCAGCCCATGGTCGGATCGTGGATCGAATTCATGTGGCCGAATGCCATGTTGTCGAAGCCGTCGGAAGACGATTCAATATCCGCATCGCGATGCAGCTCGTCAAAGGGGTTAGAAATGTATACCAGATCCTGCGTACGACAACGGCAACCGCCACAACCACCGTAAGAAGCGTCCCAGTAGCAGCACAAAACCTTGTAAACTCGAAAACCCTTTGCACTAGGCCCCACTCCACCCCTGCACACACACACACAGTCGCCCTGTCGTACATGCGCCACGGTGTGTGTGTGTGTGTGTGTGTCCCCTTCCCCTACCACACACACCCCCTCCCCTCCCCCCCGCCAACAAAGTCCCCACACACTCCCCAACCCCTACAACCGTGTAAAACCCTGTAAAACCCACGCTAAGAACCCCAAAACCCTGTAAAACCCACCATGTCTGTAATCATTGTATGGTAGCCCAACTGCAGGGAGGTCTGCAATAAGGAAAATTTGAGTGATGACACTCGGTTGGCTTCCCGGGTGTTGGCTTGTACGTCAGGAATCCGGATATTGGGTTTGAACCAGTTGATGGCGAATGCTCCGGAACCACGACGAGCGGCTCGGTCCTCCAGGTACCTGTTTCGGTTTTTTCCGTGTGTTTGTGTGTGTTGTGTACGATCGTACGGTGTGTTTGGGAGGAGTGTAGGGGAAATATGGGGAGAGAAAGGGTTTTGGGGGTTAAGAAAGGTGAGAAAAGAGAACGGAGGAGTGGGATTGGGGCATGGCGTAGGTTGAGAGACGGGAAAACGACGGGATGCGAAACACGTCCGGCACAGAGTTCTGGTGGGGACAGGAAAGACGAGCGGGAAATGGATGAGGGAGGGCGTGTGTGTGTGTGTGTATGTGTGTGTGTGCATGTATACGGGGGAAGCTCATTCATTCGCACGTTGGGAACGCAATGCTTCCTGTTGCTGTCCCTCTCGCGCCCAGAGAGCTTCCGAATTCCTAGCCCTTCATCACCCTTCTTCTTGATTCCCCTTGACTCCCCTGAGTGCAATGAGCTCACTCCTTCTCCCCCCCTCCGGCCACTCCACTTTTCATTTTTTCAGGTGGTCAACATGGTAACGTCCGAATGGGCATTTGCATTCGCCTCCCCCAACAAAATCCATCTGGGTCACCGCCACTGGCCCAACCAACCCACATCCCCATCCACCAGCGCGTTATCTACATCGCTTCCTGTTAGCTGCTGGGCGGCAAACCACGCGTCAGACAACACACACACCCACCCACCCAAAACCCACCCAAGGCGGGCTTATCCCCCAAAATCCCCATTCAGCTTCGACCCTTTTGCCCCGCCCTGCCCTCGGCAATCCGATTTGCAACCCGATCCCTAATTTCTTAGTGGGTCTCCCCAGTTATCTAGTGATCCCCAGTTATTGTTTACCGCAACCGCACACGCACTTGGCCGCTTGGTCGTCAGTGACGCCGATGAGGTGATTTTTAATGTTGGAACGCTCAAGAATTTCAAGGAAAGATTCTAGAATGTTGCCACCGTTCCACCAACAAAGAGTCGTGTTCTGGCAGATCATGACGGCGTTGGTCAACCCGAGCATGATCTCGCGCTTGTCGTTGGCATGTGTAGCGAGCAGCTGCGCGAATTCTGGGTTTTCTGCCTCTACCTCCGCAGCGGGCCGCATGAGGTATTTGGGATCCAGAGGGGCGACAGCGGTAACGGGGTGGCCGTTGGGAGTGCATGTAGACCCTGCGGCATCGGTACCCGCGCTGGTGCCGGTGCTAATCGAGTTGCCCTTGGAGTGGAAATGCACATCCGATAGGGGTCCCTGATCTATCCCTGCTGCCAAGGCGCGGCGACGCCAGCTGTCGAGCCGTCTTTGCAGTTCAGCGGCCTCGGCGACAAGTACGTTGCGGTCCGTTGAAAGTCCGTCCCGCAGGCCGGGACTAGCTGACGGCCGGCTCCGGATCAACATGATGATCGCCACCGCTACGATCGCTTGCCCCAGCAGCAAGGCAAGCCAAATCGTCCGTTGCGAGCTTTTACCTCCGCGCCTATCCATTGTGCTCATTGTTACTTTGTAAACCTATGACATCTGGCAAAATTACAGTAGAAAAGAGCTAGTGTGGTTGTCGACTCAAAGAAGAAAACCGTGTTGTCGTCCATTATTGGACGAGCAAGGGCAGCCGTTAAGCGAAAGCATGTGTACTCAGACTGTAGCGTAGCAGGGCACAAGGCAATTTGCTTGCTAAATCAGTTTGGCAGTTAAAAGGCTCTATGCATGCACAGCGCTTGATTCATACCTTGGCGAAAGGTGTAGGGTGCTGCGAGCTGCAAGCTGCACTGCATGGATCGTTTTTCAAATACGTTTGAGGTCGGTTAAACATGAGCTTCTACGGCGTTGACCCCATCCGGGTCCCTTTCACGGGTGCCTCAGTCTCCTGGGCTGTCAGCGAACTGCAACAGCGATGATTCCCCACAGGCCCTGCTGGCTGCCCTGGCGGACGCCGTCAAGCAGCTGGGAGAAGGCAGCCAACAGCCATGGGCCCGTACGCGCGTGGAGGAGGCCAAGCAGGAATTCGTCAACTGCTGCGATGTCATGTGAGCCGGGGCAAAGCAGACGTGTGCTGGCAGCCGTCCTGCAGTTCCGTGACACACGCAGCCCACCTTTTCAAGGACAACAATATCAGGCTGTAGTAATAACACGGTGCAGGACGTTTGAAAGCTGGGGAGGGGTATGTTGCAATACAACATGACTGCGGGGGATACACAAATAGAGTGAAGCACAAAAATAAAGCCCGACTTAAATAAGTTTCCCAACGGAATCTGCGAATACATGCCGACTAATCGTTGGAGATTCTTCAACTTCCAACACAGCCAAATGCCAACGTCCCCTATCTTAAGCCCCATCACCTTTCGCGCCTCGCCGTCCAGACAATTCTCCAAAACTTTGCCACCGCATGTGAACCATCCCCAAGCCAAGAAAGCATGCTGCATTCCGACGTGTGCGACACCTCCCGCATCCCTTTCCCTTCCCCCGTTTCATTCTGGCCCCCCCGACAGGTGCTTCCACATGGTACGGACGAGTTGCGCATACGGCAGTGCCGGGCTGGACGCGAGGGGGGCAATGCCGGGCTGGACGCCAGGGGGGACGCCATACATATCACGCGTGCGCGCTCTCACATACACCCTCTCACTCCCACCCCCTCACCCACCCCTGAACATGTGTGGATTGCGCACACGCACACATGCAGACACACCAGGGTCCGTTCCCAGTCCTAATCATTCGACCGCGGCACACACCCACCAACAGCACCCACCAACAAAGCGCGCCCAAAACTGAACCCGGTGGCGCCAGGCCAGCACACGGAGGCGGAAGCAACTCACCCCGAATCTGCAGGGCTCTCTCTCTCTGTCTGCCTCTCTCTCTCTCTCTCTCTCTCTCTCTCTCTCTCTCTCTCTTACATACACACACGCACGCGCACGCGTTATCTCTCCTCCCTGGCCGTCTCTTAACCGGGCCCCCCCCGGGAATCCAGGTGGCGCCGCTCCTCGATTATCTCTTCTCTCTTGTTCAGACACTTGCAAGAAGCCAAGGTCCTTTATGCGTAGTCGTCGTAGTCGTAGTAGTCGTCACATACCAATCTGTATGCCAGCACCAGCAGTAAACACCAGTTCCGTCTCCTTGTAACCCCTTGTTGTTGTTCTTCATTGGCCTTGGCCCGGATCCCGTTGTAGCTGGCCTTGCTGAAAAGCCCTCTCGAGGTGCTGGTGGTCGCGCTTAGCGCATGTTTGTAGAGCCGTACTGTGTACCAGCTGATATACCCGGACCCCGGCCCCTCTTCGACCTCCGGGCCCCGGCCCCCCTCTTCTACGTCTGGTACACTCTTGCCCTGGAAGCACCTTCACTCGTTCGTGGTTCGTCTTTCCTCCCTCTTCTTACAGAAGCAAGCGGTGGAGATCATTCGTCAGGAAATGGTGCAGCAGCTGTCGTCCTCGGGTCAGACACACGGTGCGTCAGGCACCGCAGGGTGTGGGTGGTGTAAAGATGTTTAGTATGTCCCTAAGAACAATCTTACATGGGAAAGATGTGGTGTGGGCGGCGTTGGTGCAGAAGTGTGTAGAGATGCGCGGAGGGGAGAAAAATGGGCCACAGGAGCGAGGGGCGACCCAGGGCGCTGATTTGGTGCTGCGGCGGGTGCGCGATTCCGTATTATGGCGGGTGCTGCTCAGCCCGCGTCCAGGAGGAGCACGAAGTCTCCATAAGGCCCCCTCCCCCTTAGCTTTTTTTAACCAGCCTACGGCGATCTTCCTGACCCATATCCCATTCAGTTCCCGTGGCTGCTCCCGTTGCACGTCTTCTGGTCACAGCCACCGCCATGGACGCTGAGCAAGTACGGCAGATCTTGGATGCCGCGGAGGTGTTCGCGGCGCAGCTGCGTGATCCAGTGGCGGCTGCCGCAGCCGCCACTGCTGCTGCTGGTGCAACTGCAGTTGCTACTGCTGCCGCCGCCGCAGCGGTGGCGGCGGCGGGGAGATCCGGGCCCGCTGGCTCAGGGCCGTACATGATGGCTCCGCCGGCGGCGCAACTGCCTCATCCAGGAGCCACCGACCCAGCGGCTGCGGCGGCATCAGCCGTACAGAGCGGCGCCGTCGGCGTCGTGGGATATCCGCAGCCGCCGCCGCCGCAGCAGCAGCAGTACCAACAGGGCATGGGGGTTTACAACGCGTACATGTAAGATGACGTTTCGGAGCCAAACTGTAGCTTTTTACATGCGGGTGTGTCTGTATGTCTGTATGTGCTGAAACGAATGTGGAGTGTCTGTCTGTATGTCTGATCAAGATGTGCGCAAGATGCATTAGAGGGAAGTGCGGGGGAGGGGGGTACCCGAAGGAGAGGGAAAATGAGGGTGAGTTTGCGTTGCTTGTATGAATACTGTGCGAACGAACCTGTGGCTGCTGCGAGTTGCTCACTGCCGCACTGCCTGACGTCAAATGTGTGGCAGTAGCAGCAGTGTGGAGCAGGAACAGCGGACCGTACTCCCCAACTGTGAGAGCCTACCTGGTCACTTAGACGGATTTGGCGACTAATTCACTTATGAAGGTGTTGATAAACACCGGGGGTTTCCGAGGGGTTTTATAGTCGCTTGCACCCGTCTGAGGCGCTCGGGATAAGATGCCGTACAATAGTAGATATTCCTGCAGAAGAGAGTCGCACCTTCCAAAGAAGAGTTACGATACAGGTCTGGCCGTGAACGGGCAGATGTGTACAAGATTGTGTACGGAATCGAGTATGTGTACGGATCATTACAGCCATAGCCGTAGTCATGTACTGCTTAGTACGGCTATAGTCGAAAAATGACTAAGATAGTTGTATGTACTGTGTGTACGATATTCGCCCCGACGATGGAATGATAAGAAGGAATGGAGTCCCTACTCGGAAATATCTTAAAAGCCCTACTCGGAAATATCTTAAGTCCTGAGCCAGGCTCTTACATTAACCGCCACCCCCACCCCCACCGGGGGAGCTGGCTGATTCTATTAAAGAAAACGCCTGGCCTTCTGTAGCTCGCAACGAAGTGAACCGGCCCATCCATGAATGAGGTTCGTCCCACTGATTGCGGAAATCAACACGTAATGAGAAAGAATGCAGAGCCCCAAGCCTGAGCGGAACCTGATTGACCTGTGAACATGGTTCAACTGTGTTTTCTGTGGGACGTTGAAAAAGGCGTTCGTCGAGGTTGTGGCGAGGATATAAGCTCTGTCTTTTTTATTGACTATTTCAAAGCGTACCGTACGACGTACGACCGTACGATGGGTGATACTCACCGCTTGATATTGGGGTGGGAATTAAACATGTCATCTACTGCTTCTGCGGAGGAAGCTCGAACTAATGTAAGACGACTGGCATCGTCAGCGCAGATACCCGCGATCTTTTTAGAGCCCACACGTCTGCTCGGCAAGCACAGATATGCCCCTTCAGCCATAATATCCTTAAAATGATCCGGCAGGGAGATTTTGGAAACGTAGACCCTTGGAAAAAAGATTTGGACAAGGCGATGCAATACTTTGCGAGCATCATCGTTATTATATTGCAGTAAGTAGCGCGGTGATGGCTGTTCATTTTATAAATATCTGTTGCCAAAAGACACGACACGAGAAAAATAAGTACATGTCGACGAGGAAAATACATTCACGAATCCCATGAAATACTTAGGGTAACTCCATGCGGTGTAGTACGCGTAATGTACTGTGCGCGGCCGGGCCAGGGTAATTAGCGTCCTCCACCAAAGTTTGAACGTTGTACTGGCAGCCATATACCGTCCTCCTCTAAAGAGGATGTGCAACAGCAACAAGCGCAACGAAGTTATAAATATGATGATAATAATATGTATCAACGTCCTCTCCGTCCGGATCCATCCCGGCCAAGCGTCAGAGGCCTCCGGCCGCGATAACTCGAGTATTTACGTCCAATCAGTCAGTCAACAAGGAATATTGTCAGTCGTCATACCCACGTGAGCAGGCAACGTCGCACGGGGATTGGTCAGAGAGCACAAAATATCGCAGCACCAATCTCTCACCTCGCGGCAAAGAGCAAATCGAACAATAGCGAAGCGTTAAAGACTCAATTTTTTGTCCAAGATGAACACCCTTACCCCACCTCCTCTTCCTGCTCCCACCATCACCACCACGCCACAGACTACCGGAGTAACACAACTCCTGTTCCCACCACTAAATTCGCGGGCGAAAGGCCGCGGCAAAGGGAGTTGAGAGCGTCCAGGAAAAGAGGGGGAAGGCACAACGCAGTCTACAAGCAGTCTACACTCTTCGCGAGGGCTATACAACCCTTACCCCTGCCGTCATCCCCACCGCCTTCATGCCCCGCCTTGAGGGACACACCACTGCAGAAGCTGGAGAATAAGACGGCACCGCGCCCAGCGAACCCAAATCGGGGCAGTGTCGAAAGCACCAAGCCAGGAGTGCAACCCTTCCCACTTCCGTAGAAATTTCTGAAGAACAGGTAGTATCAGGGTTAGGAGGAGTAAGGGAGGAGAGGGAGGTACAACTTTCCCCCTTCCCCCCCTTCCCCCAATTACGACAGTCCCACGGAACGATCACGCCACATGGAGCGGGATGGTACGGCAGACAGCCGCCGCCGCCGTCGTCGTCATTGTCGTCGTTGTTGTCGCCGCTGGCATCCGAGAGCCGCCACCATAGGCCACCACAGCACCGTCACACGCCACGCGCGCTCAACACACCGCCGATGTCGCCTCTGCTGGCCAGTGCCAGTCCCCGTAGGACGCACACCGTGCCACCACCACCACCACCACCACCATGGTCTTATTCCCTCCAAAGCAGGGTACAACCCAAAACTGTAACTAATGCTGTTGTGCACGTGTACAGCAGCACCAAACACAACTTTGGCTTGTATCTGACCGTCTCTGATGACTCCACGAGACTCTACACGAAATCTCCATCTCCGGCATCCCCCCCGCCGTTGTTAAACCTCCGCAGCTCCTTACCTCCCCCCTGGCCAAAAAAACACATGCATATGGATCCCCAACCAGGACGTCGAAGTCCTGGATGGGACTTTTGCGCCGTCGGCATTTGCGCCTGAACAAGGAGCGTGAGGGGCGTGGTGTTGTTGCTATGTCGCAACAGTCGCTACCACCTCCCCCGCATAGCAACAGTCGCAGCACTAACGGGGGGGTCATGCCAGCCTGCCGCCGCCGCCACCCCCGGCCCCCCCTGCAGCCGCCACCACAGACCAACAATACCACCACAATGACGATAACGACGACTTCAAACAAACAAGTTAACCTCATGATACACCTCACATCCTCCTTCTCCATTCCCCTTCAAGTACACCAACTTAAAAACGCGGGCTGCCGTACAGTCGTGTACGACATGCGAGTTGCGGCACACCTTGCAAATATTTCAAATAAGCTGACCAAGCGCGAGCTTTATTAAAACGCTCCGAGGGCCCTCCAGGGGGCAGGCATGGGGCCTTTACACTGCTGCTGCTGTTGGAGATGATATAATGACGATGATGATGATGATGATGATGATGATCACAGCCAAGACTTGCGGACCACCAAATGCCTTCCTTCCCCCCCTCACCTCACCTCCTCCTTCCCCACACAAGATTCAATACACATCAACGCCGTCATGACCGACAACGCCTTGCCATGCTTTCCGTGGCGCTGATTCAGTCGTCTCCCTCCCCGTCCTCGTCCCCCCCTTCCTCTTCCTGCGCTGCCGCCGCCGCCGCCGCTTTCTCTTTCTCCTTCTCTTTCTCCTTGTTGTATGCAGCTGCTTCCTTATTGTAGCGCTCCTTGTCATCTTCGGCCTGCTTCAGATATCTGCGCCAGGAAGCCAGGAAACAAGCAGTCGGTCAGTTACCAACCAAATCCAAGGAACACAGTGACAGCCAAGTGAGTTTTGACAGCAATCTTGACTGATTTGCAGATAGATAGATTTCAGGGAGAAATGAAAGCATTTATTATGCATATATATTGCACAATTAAGCATTGAAGTGAAAGCTATGATTTTTTCAGTAACTGGAGAGGTGATGCAGATGATGTTAAATATGCCTTCCTGCCTGTCAGAAGGAGGCCCGTAGCGGTAAAAGCCATGCCTGACACGCACAACGACACGCGCAATGACACGCAAAATGCTCGCTACTACGCAGCAGTAGCAGTAGCAGCAGCCCGCCTACGCCCAGCCTACCACCTATGCAGCGCAACCCGCACGCCCCCAAAAGCGAAACGGGGGACTCTCTTACTTTTTCTTGTCCTCCTCGCTGACTTCCTTCCAGAGCTCGCCCAGCCGCTTGCCGATGTCGGTGACCGACATGCCGGGGTTCTCTGCCTTCACCCGCTCGCGCATGTCCTTGCAAAACCACATGTATGCGCCCAGCGGCTTCTTGGGCGCGTTGGGATCCTTCACCTGGCGTGTGGGGGAGACAAAACACACACGCACACATCGGTTACATGAGGTAGAGACGCAGGGGCGCGCGCAATTGGACGAGCAGGAGGGGATAGTGGCTCCGTTGGGGTATTATACGGTTAGGTGCCCCTGGCGAGCGCCAGGCCCGGATCGAATACACACACAGACATACATATACACAGTCGACACAGTCACCAACACATGCACGCGTACGCTATTCCCCGCGGTTTGTTTTTCACATCTGTCACATCGACGATTTGTTGAATTACAGAAAGCATCGCAACAGAAAGTAGCTTGAAAGAGACAAGTTGTGCCAAGGATTGCCTCCGACGATGCTGGGATAATAAGGATGGCAACAGCGCTGATGTTGACAAAATGGGATCGAGGTGATGTCGTATAGTAACATTGTTGGGTGCGTTCGTCCGCGCTGCAGGGGAAAGTACGAGCACTTCGCGGTTACGAAAGTCCGGGGTCCCGCTGCCAGCTATACTAACCTTCTTCTCCCTCTTCGCCGCAGCGGGCTTCTCCTTGGCGGCCTTGGGCATTGTCAGTGCTAAACCTGTAACCGTTCGTCAACAGTAGGGCGTCTGTAACATGGAACAGAAGTTGGGGCTGCGGAGAAATGGGCCAACGCCACAACTTAAATTTAGCGCATTTGTAAATAAGCTAGATGGATAGGAAGGTTCTATGTGTTATAACAAATTTGCTTGTCCTTGTCTTCTTTATCGCCGCTGTTGCTGTCAAGGCCAACTGCCGATGCGCTCGTTCTGGTCCGTCCGTGATGGTCAAGCCTCAGCAAACAAGGACAACAAGACGGAGGATAGCGATTTACCTAGAGCCCAGGACGCTAAGCGCGATTTGTGTTTAAGGTGGCCAAAGTCAAACCGATGGAGCTGGCCGAGGCGCTTTGCTTACCGGCGGTTGCCTAGGCTGGATGACCTGTCAAATCACACTGCGAAGCAATGAAAAGATGTCCAAACTCTGGCGGTTCTAAGGTTGTGGATTAAGAAAGTACTGGTCCACGGGTCTTGACGAGGATATTATCGTCGTGCGCACTGGCCGCAAGTGCTTGTCGGTTACGTTGAAGCGATCACGAATGTGGGCGATGCACTGTTGCAGTATCTTGCGGACCGCGACTTGGGTTGTACTTCATCTTTGACCGACAGCTGCCCTCAGTGACTGGGGCTGAGGGCGCCCAGGCGGGGCCTGGCACCGGCGCCGGCCGAGGACCGCTTGACCCCTCCTGGACTCAGTCCAATTTCAAAAGTTCCATACATCGCAACGGGGCAGCGCTCTGCTTTACCCAATTAACATAATACAAAATTTTCTATGCGAAAGATATCATGCATTTACAGTTATACTCAAGGCTGGCACAGCGCTGTCTCGACACGGGCCAGGACGTGAACATGCGCCCGGCAATGTATCTTCGCATCTCCTTCCACTCCTGATATATATTTTCATCTTGGCTGATCCAGAAGCGCAATTTGTGGTTTCCCTTCTAACAAGGCGGGCCGTAACGGTGGGCAGCTACATACTTCTGCTTTCGTGTTCCTCCAAACGACTCTCTTGTGCATAGCACCCTATACCTACAAGCTCGTTCTGCTTCTCATTTATCGGTGGTGCGCAAGCTGTGTTCCGTCTAGTTGCCGGTAGCGTCCACGGACGCCTCAAAGCACGCCGAGCACGATAGAAATATACAAAGTATCCTTTGTATAAACAAATAAGATGTTGCCGGCAGCGCGGAGACATACGCACTTCCGAAGGACAGTTGGCGATTTGTCCGTAGCCCGTTGTCGCGGACAATCGCCAACCGCTTCTGATGACGGGCCCAATCGGACGGTCCGACGCCGGCTTCAATATCAGCCAGCTCACGTTCTAACCCAAATGCTGCTGTTCCAATAAACCATATCCCGAACCAACTCGACCCCGCACCGCCCGCGGCATCCCCCCCTTCATAAGCTGCCTAAGCAAGGCCTCTATGGCTTGCTGTGGCTAAGCAGCATTGTCCTTGTTGTATCGGGCAAACACCCTCGTGGTTTGCGCTACACCTGACTTGCAACAGCTTGGCACACACAGCACATCCACACACACTCACCTGTCCCGCTCTCTTCAGCTAAGGAAAAGAGGGCTTTTTGGCAGAGCCATCCCGCCAGAGCAAGATGACTGCTGCCGTTTGCCGTCGCCAGCACCAACCCAGGGGTAAACGTCGCAAAACACACACCTCTACACAGCTGTGTGTGTGTGCACACACTGTTACACTGGCCTCGGCTTTTTATCAGCGTATAACTGCGGCTCTTTCTCTTGTTCCAAGCATGACACGTACGACGGGTCAGAGGAAGGGGGGAAGAGGGAACTGCCAGAAGGTGCCAGACAGCAGCGGTCATCGCACGCAAGGCACAAGACAAGGCACAACGTACAAGCAGCTTCCAACGCCATCCCTCCGCTTCCACCCAACCTCCATTCCCCGCCAACCTTCCCAGGTCCTAGATTTGCATGTCGGCAGTTGACTCCTGTTTATACATTTGGGCGCATCACCCATATCTTCCCTTCCACGTCACGCTGACGGCTTGCTTGAGTTGGTAAGAGACTTCCAGATGCGTGAGATGCGTGAGATGCGGAGATGAGATCCTTTCCGGGCTCCGAAGGATCCCCAAGAAGAGTCTTCTCCAACGCTTTTCAAGACAAATTACCAAATCTTCTCCGACAAGACGACCTGCCGGCTTGTGAGACACCTACAAAGCGCAGTCCCGCTTCCGGGTACTTCCTTCCGGGTTACTTCAGCGCGGGGGGGAAGCCTTTAGCCTCGTAGCCTGAAAGGACGGGTCCCCTAAGGGCGTAATCCCCCCAATCCCCCCATCAGACGACCCATCTGCTTTTCCCGCGTGTCAAGCTCTTTCCTTAATAGGCTGTTCGGTACCTCTGGCCAGTGAGCTGTGGTGAAGGCTCCAGGAGCTCCAGTTGCCTCACCCTGAAATATACACCTTTTGAAGGTCAATTGTTCGCAGTAGGTTACCATGTCCAGCCCTTACGGGCCCAACAGGGCGAGCGATGAGATGGACGGCGCCTTCGGCGCCGTATCGCGCGTTTTCACGTCCTTAGGAAGCTTTTTTTCGGTCGCGAGCGAGTTATCGCTCAAAGAAAAAACACTGATGACCTGTCTTTCCCTACCTACCCTACGTACCCTACCTACTCTGCCTGCAAGTGCCCACGCACGTGCTGCTCTCATGCAACTGTACATCACTTCCTTCCCCCCTTCCCGCTTCCGCCCATCTCCCCATATTGGTGTTTGGGCAAATATGCGGGCAGCAGCGGCACTAGCACTAGCGGCAGTGACCTGTTAGGTTTCATCGTAAGACTTCATTCATTGGGGTTCACCGTGATGTTCATTTCGCTTTCCGGCTCCCCAAGAAGGCTACCTCCAGCCCCCAGCCCCCAGCCCCCAGCCCCCAGCCCCCAGCCCCGTTCTTTGCATTGCCGTACGTCGCGGAGAAAGCAAACACTCTCACCGCACACATACGCGCGCACAAAAACATTCAGCCACACAGGCACAAGTGCTGGAAAGCCAGCAGAGCGAGTCAAACAACATGGCTGTCTGAGGCTGTTGCCTAACTAAGCATTCTGGCCGGTCCATCTCCCGCGATGGCCCATTTTTCCCGTTTGGGCCCGTGGCTTCTAAGCCTGCTTAGATCATGAACTCTTATAAGCTTAGGGTTTTTTTTCAGACTGGATTATAAAGCCAGCAATTAGGCAAACCGCTTCGCGGCCCAATGGTTCTTGATTCATCGGTCCCTCGCACCACGGCTTTCCACAAACTTTCAGACTTATTTACCTGTTGTTAAAGGCATTTGTGATTCGTCCTAGAGACTCGTCCAGATGAGCAAACAGCGTGACCGGAGCCGAATCTAAGACGACCGGCCTCGCCTAAAGCACGCCCTCCGTTTTCGGGCAATCTTCGCCAGAACAGGTTTACTTGTCTATTTCGAGGCCAAGAGGACGTCTGAGAGAGTTAGGAGATTCTCCCAGCTTCTTACATTGAGCCCTTCTCCTTCTCATCACTGCTGCTGCTGGGAAAATTTCACACGCCCCTCTCCCAACCTCCTCTCCCTTTACACGAAGGAGATTCCGCAACCGAACGCTCGTTAGCGCTGGACGAGATATACCAGGGAACGCAGATATGATACCCGCCTGCGGGCCGTTCATTCGTTTTTTATTAAGCGTCACAACGTGTAAATGACAATGCAGAGAAGACAGAGACTGGCAGAGTGTTGGGCGAAGATCTGTGTCTCGGGGGATGAGGTGGGGCGGGGATGCGGGTTCTACGCAGGGTCCCTGCCTGGTCACTGGACGATAATGGAGATGTGTCTTTTGACTCTTCGCGAGGCTAGGCAGGGACAGACAGCGAAGGGGCTCTGCAACACTGGTTGGAAAGGTACGCTTATGAAACATTATAGATTTGCTTAAGTCAAAACAGGTAAGCTGGAGATGTTTTGAGGACTTTGCTTTGTGCGAGAAAGCGGATTGCGGTGCTGTGCTGTGCGTGCTGTGCGTGCGTTGGCCTGTCAAGCAGGTTTTGCTTGTGAAGTGTTTATCCTTAAGCTTGTTGCAATATGTTTATAAAGATTTCTTCCGCTATTATAAAATGTCATTCTTGGCGAAATCCATACAGCTTTAAGTAGACCTGCTTGAGTACGGCTGAATTTGTCAAACAGGCGGGAAGCCTCTGTGCGCAAGCCTCTGTGCGCAAGCATTCAAGCCGTTGCATCGCTTGATACCTTCTGGATTGCTCGGGATACCTTACTCATTTTGGAAAGGACCATGACTACTGCAAATTCGTCGGCATGATGCGCAACAGAACGGCTCCTTTAACTCCGACGGCTGCGTGAAAGATGGCATTCGCAGGCTTGTGTTATTAATTCAAGCGTTGTGACGCCATGGATGTGAGACAGAGGTTGCTACCACTCGCGCGTTGGGTGGCGACTTACAAGCGGAGCCATGGCAAGGCGCCTACAGAGGCTGACGTGCCGCCAGACCTTGGTAAATCCTCGCAGCACAGCCGAACCCTTTTTTGTTTTCTGCATTAGACAGCAAACCTCTCACCCCCCTCGCCATTATCCCTCTTCCGCGCTTACGGACCCTGCCACCCTCACATTTGGTGCTCCACTTTCAACTCCTTCCCAATTATTTCCCCCTTTCACGGCCCTCCTTTTCATGCCCAACAACAACAACAACAGCTCCCCTTTGGGCGGAATTCCAGGCCTCGAAAGCCACTTTGGTTGCTTCATCCGCAGCGAGCCGACCGCAGCCCCAACCTCAGGACCCCCTCGCGCTGACCCAGCAAAAGCAGAAGCGGCTCCAGGAATTCCCAGGGCCCGCCGACACCCCCGCAGCATCCCCTCCTCGCACGCACTTCCATCGCACAAATCACACCAGTCCCATTCAAACCAGCCCGGACGCGATCCCGTGCGCTCGGACGTTCTCTTCGGCGTTCTCTCCGGAGAGCCCTAGTCGTAGAGCCGCTCGCCCCTTGGTCGCGCGCGCCCTTCGCCGCGCACACGCCGGCACTGCCGCGGCGGCAGCGGCTAACGCGTCGCCGCCGCTACCTGCCGTACAACGGCAAGGGTCCCCCGGGGGAAGAAGTGCAGCGTTGGAAGGAGGATCCGCCGACGGCGCCGCCGCTGCCGCCGCCGCCGGGGGCAGCATATTCGACGTCGCTTTTGACAAAGAGAATCGCCGTTTCGCGACTGGGGACGCGACTGGAACCGGCAAGGAGGTGGGGGAAGTGGCCGCGGCTGCGGCGCCGATTCCGGCGATGCCGTCGTACGGGACGCCGGCGCGACCGCCTCGGGTCCCACGCCGCGACGGTGCTGGCGGCGGCGGCGGCGGCGGCGCCGTCACCCCGGAACGCGGACTCCCCCCCGGCGGCTGCACTGCAGGTACGAGACCTCTGTGAGGAGGAACTGAATGAGATTTTCATACCCCCCAAGGGGACGGTAGAGTTTCCCCGCGAAGGAGCCTCTGCGACGTAGGGGCGTAGGGCGTACGTCATCCCTCCCTGGGGTGAAGTAAGAGGTAGAGGCAAGAGCGGAGATGGGAATTGTGGTGGAATGCGCGAGGGAGTTGGAGAAAGTTGATCCATTCCTTTTCTGCACGTGAGTTGGGATCTAAAGCTAAAGCTGGCTGATGGACATGACCTGCAATCGGATCTGATAGGGCCCGCGTGGGCGGCAATGGATGGCGGCGGCGGCGGCGATGAGGATGAGTTGGATGAGGTGCCGCCGACACCGCTGTCTCAGATACGGCGATCCGGGCCCGGCGGCGGCGGCGGAGCGGCGGGAGGTGGCCGCTGCAGTGGAGGACGGCGGCTCGCCAGCGGCGGCGGCGGCGGAGGGCTGTTTTCACCACCTCGATCTGGCGGCGGCGGCGGCGGTTGCGATGGGGGTTCTGCCGTAAAGGAGACGCCGCCGGAGAGCATTCGCCGTCGAAGTAGATTATTCGAAAGCCCTGGGGGCGGCGGCGGCGGCGCTAGGGTTCCTCTGTCACCCGTACCGTGCCGGCTTGATGCTAGCGGCGTCGGCGGTGGCAGCGGACTGTTCAGTGGCTGCGGCGGCGGCGGCGGTTTGTTTGGGAACGTCGCCACCAACGGCGGCGGCGACGGCGGCGCTGCATGTCCTCCACGGTGCGGAGTGGCTCCGAGCCCGGGTCGTGCGTTGGCTAGGCAGCTCATGCAGCGGCGGCCTGCGGGGGTTACGGCCGCTGCAGCGGCGGCGGCGCCGCTGCCGCCAGCGGTAGTTGCCCGTAATCCTTTTAGTCGCGTGGCGAGAATGAAGACCGCTGCACAGCGGGAAGGAGAGGCCGCAGCCGCCGCGATGGCGGCGGTGGCAGCTATGCAGGCAGAGCAGGCTGCAGCCGAGGCGCCGACGGGGGCAGCGGGACCCCCAGCTCCCCCGGCCGGGCCCAAGCGCCGTACCAGATCCCACGCGGCCAAGGGCTTCCCGGTGGCAGCGGTGGCGGCTGTCGCTACTACAGCCGACGGCGCTGCCGCCGCCGCCGCGGCGGCGGAAGCGGCGGCAGCCTCTTCCACACCGATGCGGCTGCTCCGTCGGGCCCAGGAGGAACGGCAGCAGCGACAGGAGCCGGCGGCGGGGCCCGACGGCGGCGGCGGCGGGGCTCCGCCGGGTTCACCCTTCAGTCCAATACTACCTGTACGGCGGCGGCCGCTGCTGACGGCGGGAGTGGAGAACGGCGGCGAGGGGGATGCGGTGGGTCAGGGGGTTAGCGGAGAGTTAGCGGTTAGTGAGGGCGTACGGAAAGAGATAGAAGTCTGAACTGGGGAACCTGGGACGCGTTGGACATTAGGTCGTTGGCCGTTAACCGTTGGTTGTTGACCGTTTTGGGAAAGCGGTAATGTGTTGCAACTTGCAACGAGTATCAAGTATAGCGGAGAGCTCTCGATATAGGAGGGACGAGGAGAGGAAGAAAGGTAAGGGGTGAGGGCTTGGGGGCGAGGTATGAATCCTTTGGGGCGCGTGTGTGTGCATGTATGTATGCATGTATGTATGTATGTATGTATGTATGTGTGCAGATGAAAGCTTGTCAATCTTGGGGGGGTGGGGAAAGGGGGAAATCTGCCGTGATGTTATTGATGGGGCAGCCCCACATACACCGTTAACCCCTGTATGTATGCGTTACGACACACAGCACACAATGTTTCTGATTAGAACCGATACTTGGCCGATACAAGGAAAAGAGAAAAGTCTGGAGCCTGGAACCCCCCTGGTGTTTCATGGGGCTCGTTTAGGGTTATTGATTGGGATGGAAAACCTCCCGCCGTACAGGACTTCAACGCATTCTTCGCCGCCCGTGCCGCAGAGGCGGCGGCGGCGGCGGCAGCGGTGGTGCCGTCCGCCGCCATCGCCGCCTGGCGCCGAGATGACGGCGACGCCGACGACGTCGCGATACGGAGGCTGGCGGAAGGGTATGACGCTCTTGCCGCTGACGCAGACGCTGCGCTGGCGCTCGGCGGCGGCGGCGGCGTCGCCGCTGCAGGGCCTGGTACGGCAGCGGCGGCGGGACGGGGTGGCCGTCAGGCGTCGTTGTACGGCGATGCGCAGGCGGAGATGCGACGGCTGATAGTGGAGCAAGCGTCCGAGGTGCGGGAAGCGAATACCTGAGGACGTGGCGTCCCTTCACTTGTTTTTTTAGCCGCAAACTGAGCTTTGAAGTGTTGCTGCTATACTATTTTTAAGTTAACCATCAACTAAGTTAACCATGAACCAACAGACAATAACGAACTATCCACCTCTTTAGGCGGTTGATATGGACAAGCTGGCGTTACTGGGTCCCCGCGGCGCAGCGGCGGCGGGTTTTCGATCCCCCGGTGCCGCCGCCGCCGCCGCCACAACGGATGCCGTCGGTGGCGCTGGCGGTGTCTGCCGCGACGGAAGGTTCCGGCATGAGCCGCCGGCGCATCCCGCAGCAGCGCTGACGGCGGCAGCGGGGCCGGCAGCGGGGGCGGCTGCCGACGGCGACGTTTCAGGCGTGGCCGGCTGCGACGACGACGACGAGGATGTCGATGTGGCGGAGGCGCTTCTACCCATTGCCGTACGTGACGAGATCCGGCGGAGGCGCCGCGAGCTAAGATGTCAACGTCAGGCGGCGGAAGCGCCATCGCAGCCGCTGCTGGCGGAGGTGCCATTGCAGCCGCCGCTGGCGGAGGCGCCATCGCAGCTTGCCACTGCTGCGTCGGCTGAGGCAATGGCGGCGGAGGCGGCGGCACCGCTGCCGCCAGCAGCAGCGACGGTGGCGTTACGTTCGGTCGACCGCCGTCAGGCACTACGGCGACAGCTTCTGGGTCCCACGCCGATGCTGCCGTCGGCGGCGGAGGTGGCGGAGGCGGAACGAGCTGCTGCCGTCGGCGGCGTCCGTGCCGGTGCCTCAATCCGCAATCTTGGCGCCGACGTTGATGGCAGTGCTGAGGCTGCTGCCGCTGCTCCCGCGGCAGCCGCTGCAAATGACGGCGTTGACGGCACAGATCATCACGGCGCGACACGTGCCGGCCGCTGCAGCGGCGCCGACGAGGCAGTGGCTGGCGGAGGCGCTGTAGTGGCGCCGAGCCGCCACACTACAGCCACGGCTTCCGGTGCAGATGGAGCTTATACTGCGGCTGCACCAGTGGCGGCGGCGGCGGCGGTTACGGCATCGCAGAAGAGCGGCGCTGGAGGTGACGGACAGGCGCGGCGGAGTGGCGGCGGCGGCGCTGGCGGCGTTGATGCCGTGCCGCCGCGCAAGCCCGCAGCCGGCCGGGGCCGCGGTCGCAGCGGTCCTGGCGGCCGCGGCAGCGGCGGCGCTGCAAATGGCGCTGCTGCAGCCCGACGTCGGAGCACGCGTGGATCGAACCTTGATGAAGCCGTGGTCGGCGCTGACGGCAGCGCTGACGCCGACGGCTTGGCTGCCGTACCCTCAGTGGCCGCTACGAGGCCTAGGCGCGCGACGGCTGCCGCCGCAGCAGCGATGGCGGCGGCAGCCGTCGGACGACGGAAGACCATTACGTTGGGCTCCGTCGGCGGCGACGGCGACGACGACGAGGATGATGACGTGGACAGCAGCAGTGGGGAGACGGCGACTGACGGCGGCGGTGACAGCAGCAGCGAATCTTGCTTGGATTTTGGATCTGACGACAGGGCGTCGGCTGATAACTCGTCTGGATCTGGTTCCGAAACCGATTCTGGACCTGGATCTGAGGATCACCGGATCGATAAATCGGTGCGGATGGACGTTGATGGTGAATCCAATCTAAACAGCGATGATGATGATGACAACGTACGACTTGTACGACGACCTGTACGACACCGGGGGACAAGCGCAGCGCGCCGCAAGGTGGCGTTGGCGCTGGATCCTTCAGAAGAGGATGAGGCAGAGGACCCGGAAGTTGCCGTACAGGTGCCGTCGCGACGGCGACGGAAGGCCACGCCTAGCGGCATTAACACTGACGGCGGCGGCGGCGGCGGGGCGGAGGAGCTTGTCAAACCCCCCAGGAGGACGACCCGGCGGAAGTGAGTGCAGGATTGCTGCTGCTGCCGCTGCTGGTGCTGCTGCCTTATTGCTTTTGCTGCTGGTATATGTTATCCCTGTTGTTGGTTTAGTGTGTTGTTTCATGGACATTACATCAACCCTTTTGACAGCCTATAAAGCCTTTCCTGCACCTAGTTACCACCGCTTATACGTATCCACGGCATGACAGCGCGACGGGGGTTACAATGATTGCCGTACATTGCCGTACAGCACTAAAGGAAGAGTGTCTAACCGGTTTTCGCCCTTTCCTCCTGGACTGTCACAATGAGGCGGCGGTTGCTCTCAAGCAGCTGTCGTACTGCCTTCATATCCTGTCCCGCTCATTCAAGCACGGCGTTTTTTAATTTAAATATGCAGCAGGACGGCTGTGGCGGCCGCTGACGACGGCGGCGGCGCAGCTGCGGCGATGGATGCAACAAACGGACCTGCGGGTGCTGGTACGCGGCCCGCGAAGCGGGCTCGCCGTACGGCCGTAAATACTGATACTGCCGCCGCTGGCGCGTACGGGGCGTACGGCGCGTACGGCTTCGGCACTGGTGGCGGCGGCGGCGGCACAGCCACCTGCGCCACCGCGGCCGGCGGCGGCGGCGGCGGTTCTGCAGCAGCAGCACCGGCGGCGGCAGCGGCGGCGGCAGCAGCAGGTGCTGGTGGCGGTCCCTCTCGTACGTCCTCTCGTCCCAACCGAACCCTTCGCGACGCTCGGGGTAACTTCGTCAAGAGCTGCAATTCGGGTTCCCGACCGAAGCACAGCTTCCGTTTCGAGGGGCGTTCCGCTGCGGGTGATAGGGCCCTCAAGGTAGGGCGGGGGGGCAGGGGGGAGAAGGGAAAACGAGGGAATTTAGACGTGATGAGATACATACATACATACATACATACATACATACATACATACATACATACACGCCCCAGCACGGGTCCCCTGCAGGCGTCCCAGACCCGGCGGCGCCGCGTCATTAACGGCAAGGTGGTTATCACGGGCGGTCGAGTGCCGCACGCGGCGGGTCAGGGAGCGGACTTCCTGGAGGGCTTCGGGCAGGGCAGCCGCTGCTTCAAGTGGGTTAGGCCGGGGAGGAGGGGGCAGGGGGGATATGTGTATTGGGTGTGTGTGTGTGTGTGTGTGTGTGTGAGGAACGTGGACTGTGGGCAAACGTGTGCGTGTGTATGTATGTGTGTATGTGTGTGTGTCTGTTAGTGGACGAGGGAAATGCTGACCATGGCGGTGCACCAGGGCGATAAACAACTTCCATCGAGGTGAGCGAGCTCTCCGTAGTCCAGCGGCGTGTTAGGCATTTTCCAAGAGGAACTGTAGATTGAGGAACTGTAGCGTGAGAATGTTTTAAAAAGATGCTGCGGGCGAGTATGGCGGATACGTGTGCGGGTATTTTTAGGGTTCGAGTGGGCTTGCTGGGAGTGTGGTACGGCGCTCGGGAGACACCCCCCAAACCCCACCCCACACGCACACGCACACGCACACAGGTGCGGAGGTACGGGCCATTGGGCCCGGGACTGCCCGGGCACTCAGGGACTGGGAAGCCCGTCGCAGAGAATCAAACAACAACAACAACAACAGCAGGAGGAGCAGCAGCAACAACAACAACAACAACAGCAGCAGCAGCAGCAGCAGCAGCCGGGCGCGCAGGAGGTTGCAAAGGCGGCGGCGGCGGAAGGGGACGGCGGTGTCGGCGCCGCGGGCGGCCGTGACGGTGTGGGTTTTGGCGGCGGCGGCAATTTCATATTACAGGCGCGGGGAGGTGTTGGACGACATGGGGTTGTGGACCATCCCCAGGAGCCGTTGCAGGTGGTTGGTTGGTTGGTTGGTTGGTTAGGTGGCGGTGCACAACGGCAGGGTTTGGGGGTCCTTAACATTTCCTTCCTCCTTATCTGGGTACTTGGGTGGGGGGGGGGGGAGGGAAGGGGGAAAGGACAGGGGGAAAACCCGTTGCACGTACCCACACGACTACACGACCTACCAAAAAAACAGTCCGAGGGAAGCGGGGGGGAGGTGGGGAGGTGGGTTGGGACATATGGGCAGGAGGGGCCGTGTGTCCTCCCATGCGGCCGACACAACTCCTGAGAAACCATTCGCCGTAACCGTTACCGTTGGATCCAAAACCCGTGTCACCTCCTTTCCCACGCTCGTTTCCCCCCCCCCTCCCCCCCTCTTCCCAAACAGCTAGACCAGCTGGTCCCCGGTATACCCTCTCCCGACCAGATCGTCACTGACCCACGGGTCGTTTCTGACGATCAGTTGGCGGCTATGCTGAGGGCAGTGTGGGGCCATTCGGGTTTCAGAGGGCGGCAGTTGGAACTTGTACGAGCAGTGCTGGAAGGGACGAGCATGCTGGCGGTGCTGCCGACGGGTGAGTTCCGGGTTTTAGGTGCTTTTAGTTTCTTTATGTGTTTAGAAGGGAATTCTTGCGGTGGAGGAGAGGTTAGTAAGGATGGATGGATGGAAAGGGATGTGGAGAGAGCCGGAGAATGAAGACCAGAATGTGAATAGCGGGGGAAAGGGGGGATAAGATATGGGGTGGGGTGGGGTGGGGTGGGGTGGGGGGAAAGTACGAATGTAATAAAAACAAAAAACCCAACACACTGGATCGCCAACCTTCCGTTCCCCACTCCCCCGCCCTCCCCCGAACCCACCCAACCCTCGTACAGGTGCTGGCAAATCCCTCACCTACCAGTTGCCCGCTATTTTGCTGCCGGGTACGGTACGACACTACAAGTTTATTGCCCGCATATCCTTTTACTGTTTTCGTACCATTGTACTACATGAGTATATGATGGCCTATCTTTCTTTGCCATCGGAGTGTTGAGTCCTACGGGGGGTCGCCCGATATGTAAGCGCATCTCTGTGTGTGCCCGTATGTCTGTGTGTATGTCTGTGTATTTGAATGGACTGCGCCGCGTGTGTCTGTCTGTCTGTCTGTCTGTTGTGTATGTGTGCTAATTTGTAGGGGGCCACTCCCCTCCCCTTCGGACTCTTTCGCTTGGCGACTATTCATATCCCAAGACGTACATGCGATCGGATCTTGTTCTTGTCGTCCCTTCCTGCCTTGGCTCCTGCAAGTTGAATGTCGTACTTGTCGTACGTGCAGGCGTTACCCTCGTTGTCTCCCCTCTTCTGGCCCTCATGGACGACCAGCTGGCCAACCTCCCCCGGGTGCTCCAGGGGCGGGGTGCGAGTCTGTCCGGGGGGCAAACCCGAGAACAGGTAGTGTGTGTATGTATGTATGTGTGTATGTATGTGTGTATGTGTGTCTTTTGGGGGGAGAGAAAGGGGCCGTACGAGGGAGGGCATCGGGGCCGTTGAGTTGTAGCAGTAGTGAGCCGTGGCTTGGTGTTGCTGCATTTATTTTATCCATATGTATTTATATGAACTGCAACTGTTGTGCTGGTGGTTAGTTAGGGGTTGTTAGGGGTTTACAGTTGTCGGTTAGAGTAGTTAGGAGTTGGGGTGGTGAATCATGGCATCGTCTTTTTGGCTTTTGCTCTTTCCACACCTCGCGACTGATTTGCATAAATCGTCTTGGGTGTTACTGGCGATTGATTGGCCTTGCCGTACCGTTGCCGTACAGGTGGACGCGGCGTTGTCCGCTGCGACCCGTGGGTCAGTGAAGCTCCTCTACGTGGCCCCCGAGAAGCTCCTAACGCCCTGGCTGCTGGCGGCACTGAGAAGGTTAAGAATCAGCCTGGTACGAGGGTTTTAGGGTTTTAATGGTTTTTACAACGTTTTTACAGCGTTTGGGCGGGATCGAGATTTTTGGGGGGAGTTAGGGGCGGGGCGGGCGGGACGGGAAGGAAACCCATGTGGGTGAGAGGGGGGTTGAAAAAGAACTGGAGGGGTGGCGGCCACCCGAATAGGGAGGGAGGTTGAGAGGTGTTTTTAGGTCCGTTTGGGACTTAACAGACTACACAGACGCTTGAGGTATAAGGCCTAATTAGGCGCCCCTGGTTAGCCCGGAACGGGCTTACCGAGAATTGAGGGAGGTTGAGTGTTTGGCGTGACGTACGGATCGTAATAAGGGTGACCCTGCTGCTCCAGAAAGGGATTCTCATGTATGGTATTCCCAACGCATTGTCCAACCGAATTCGACAACCGAAGATAACCGAAATATAACGGAAAGGGACATTATGTGATTGCGGCATGATCGTGTATTGAATTGTCTGCGTATTATTTACTGGTCTTTTTCGATTGATTCCCTATCGCATTTTCCCGTCGTACTCATACATACATACATACATACAGTTTTTGTCCCCACCCTGTCCCGTACCGGCCACCGACCGCTTAGATCGCGGTGGATGAGGCGCACTGTGTTTCGGAGTGGGGCCACTCCTTCCGGCCCGCCTACCTGCGGTTAGGACACGTGTTGCGGCGTGTACTGCAGCCACGGTGTGTTTTGGGGCTGACGGCTACAGCCACCACCCCGACGGCGGGTGAGGTGGCGGCGGTGCTGGGGTTGGCTCCAGAGGCGGTGATGAGGGAACCGCCGCTGCGACAGAACCTGCGACTCAAGGTCAGAGGGGGGAGGGGGGAGAGGGGAGAGGGGAGGGGGGAAGGGGGGGTGGGTTTTTTTTGAAAGGGGAACTGTCCGGGGGGGGAGGGTTGACGTGTATTGTGTTTCGTACGTGTAGGTGTGTGGGACTAGAGCCGTGGTGGTGATAGGGAGGCAAGCCATCATGACATCCTGGGTTAACATTATCTTGGTTTCAGGGTTTTAATATAATGTATTTTTGATACAGCTTCTGTGAAAAACAAATTCCAAACCTAGACCCCCCAAAGTATGTGTTTCTCATGGCCATCGTGTTTGCCGTACGCGTACGAATGTTACCCGTGCACAGGTCTTGCACATGCAGCCCGGCGCCTCCGAGTCGGGTGCCTCCCGTACGGCACTGCTGCAGCTACTGCGTTCCCAGGAGCTGGCTGCCGTACAGTCCGTACTTGTGTACGTGGCGATGCAATGGCAGGCCGATGAGGTGGCGGGATGGTTGCAGAGCACTCATGGAATATCGGCCAGTTCGTACCATGCAGGTATGTACGGATCTATTAAAGCAACCTGGAAAAAACTCTCAAGCAAAAAGTACGGAAATACTCGGAGATGCTAGTCGTCTGCTTTCGATTTCGCCTATATAACACCTGACTCTGTTGGCATTGCGCTCCTCTTTCGTCCCACCCCACCCCCCACCCCCCACCCCCCAAAAAACCCAAACCCTAGGTCGTCCCCTCCCCGACCGCAATGCCGTGGCCACGTCTTTCCGCACTGGTCGTACACGAGTGGTGGTTGCTACAGTTGCCTTCGGAATGGGAGTTGACCATCCATCCATCGGGGCTGTCGTACATCTACAGATGCCCAGGTCGTTGGAGGACTATGTACAGCAGGTAGGTGGTTAGGTGGTTAGGTGCGGGTTGGGACGGGAGAGAGTGGAACTGGGAAGTCCGAGTGAAAAAGGGGGAAGGGGATTCTTATTGCGTGTGAACAAAACACACCGTGGTGGTTGATGTTATGGTGGTTGTATGGTGGTTGGTGAGTTCGTTGTGGCGCTACCTTTTACATATGTACGGATGTACCACACGTACGACATGATGGAGCAAGCTCTGCCATCGCGGTTTTCTTCGTCTCGGGAGTAGTTCTATCCCTCCTCCCCTCCTTCCTTTTCCCC